CCCATCCTGGCACTGTGCCACCTGCAGCCAGGTGCTTCCCGAGCCAGGCGTTTTCTTTGGCAGGGCTGTGGGGTCAGCGCGGGTCCCAGGCCGTGGTTTGCGTAAGAGCGCGGTGCTTCCTGCCTGCCTGCCCCGCAGCACCGCGATAAGCCCGCGCTGACAAGGGCCCTTTGTCAGCTCCTCTCAGCACCGCGTGTCACAGGGCCGTGCAGCAGCTCCTCACCTGCCTAGGCACGGCTGCCAGCGCCCAAAGGAGGCATCCAGAGATAAGGTTCACGGGTGGGGCAGGCAGCCCGTGTCCCGTCCTCCCTCCCACCACCGCTCTGGACTCCAGCTCCGGCCCTGCCCCTGTCCATGCACCCTCCATATAACCCCATGGGGCACAGCTGGCTCCCTGTGCCCCCACGGGCAGGCCTGGGCTTGCCAGCTACAGGGACGAGTCCTGAGCATGCTGCAGTGACACTGCAGGGAGTGCTGCCTATTTGGTGGGTGCCTTCTCCCCCTGGTGGGACCGTGGCCCTGAAGGTGGGCCTGGGGCACCACAGCCCCTGTGGCTGGCGGTCTCTGGTTCAGCACTTGGGGCTGGCTGCCAGGGTTGGCCCAGCTGAATACCGGCAGCCAGGGTACTGCCCTGCAGAACTAACCCAGTTTAGCACAGCAGCCTGCCCTGTGCTAGATTTTCTGGGCTGTTCTCAGCATCTCGGTTACCAAGGTGACTGTTTCCTGTGTGATTGCTAATGCTTCACGATCTCGATCATGGTATCTGAGTGACTTCCTTTTCTCTGTAAAGAGCACTAGGACCTGCTCCTGCCCCGGGCTGCCAGACTCATCGCAGGTGTGGAGGATTCAGGTCAGTTTGGGTTCAGGTCACTTTGGGATCTGCTGCATTTGTGTTGCTAATGACATGGTCCCGTGCTCACCGTGGGTTGTTCTTTACAAATGACTGAAGCTGTGTTTCACTTCTCACCTTTTCTCCTTGGTGGAAGTCTCTCTCTTGAAACGGGGCTAATAGATTTTTCTTGTGTTATTCTTTACCACACAGTTTTTCTGTCAGGCTGCTGCACACAGACCTGGGGTTGCAGCCCCACGATACGGACCTCATGGGAAGTGCAATTCCCTGGTTGGGGAACACTCTACTCCGGGGTCTGCCAGGGCTGGAACAGGCTAATCTGGCGGGGCTCCTGTCCTGCCAGCCCCGTGTCACAGCATAACGCATCACTTGCTGCACCAGGTGGGAGTTGGGCATCTTCTGCGTGCTCTTCACTGCAGGCGCCCTTACACCGCCGGTCACTGCCGCGG